AAAAAAAAGAAGAAGAATTCACAGAAACAAAGGGGAAGGCTGCCAGGGTTTGGAGAGCAACTACAATGGGTACAGGTTTCCTGCTGGGTGATGAAACTGCTATAAAATCACACAGTGATGGCTGTAGACTCCTAGAAAAAAATGAGCCATACAACGTAAAACGGTGAAGTAGGCTGGGGCTACTGAACCTCATGACCCAGGATATACATGTGGGAGGTGAGACCCTTCCCTACAAGTTGCCCTCTGATCTCCACACAAGCACCATGCTGCACACAATCATACAGACATACATATGCATACACACACATACATACATACATTAAATAAATAAATAAATAAATAAATAAATAAATAAATAAATAAATAAATAAATGTAATTTAAAAATTAAAACAGAAGGGGTTAGGGATTTAGCTCAGTGCCCACAGAGTGCTTGCTTAGCAAGCCCAAGGCTCTGGGTTTGGTCCTCAGCTGGGGGTAGAGAAGTATATGGCATGTAGATTGTACCTCAGTATTTTCTTAAAGGCGGAAAACTGGGTCAACGTGACGGCTTGTCAGGTAAAAGTGCTTGCCACACAGCCTGACAACCTAAGCTGATCCCTGGGATGCGGTGCCGTGCATCTGTAATCCTGGTGCTCCTCTGGGCAGATAGATGAGAAAGAGACAGGAGAACTAGCCAGAGGTCACCTCCACAAACTGGAGAGAGAGACCTAACTCTTGAAAGTTGTCCTCTGCTTGCACATGTGCATCTGGCATAGGAATGCTCATGCTCAACCTTTTTTTTTTTTTTTTTTTTGGTTTTTTCGAGACAGGGTTTCTCTGTGTAGCTTTGCGCCTTTCCTGGGACTCACTTGGTAGTCCAGGCTGGCCTCGAACTCACAGAGATCCACCTGGCTCTGCCTCCCGAGTGCTGGGATTAAAGGCGTGCGCCACCACCGCCCGGCTCAACCTTTTTTTTTTTTAAGGAGAGGTGGGTATGTGGAGATGGGTCAGAGGGTTAAGGTGCTTGCCACCATACCTGACTACCTGAATTTTATCCCTGGCACAGCAGGAGATCAAATGCCCTACAAGTTGTCCCATGATTGGCATACATCTGCTACAGCAAGAGTGTGCCCACTTACATACACAAACAAAATAATTATGAAAGAAACTTTAACAATTCCAATGAATAAATCTATCATTGCATCTACTTTTCCAACACACAAAACTCCACACACTGTATGTCAACTCTCTCCCCCTGCGTCCCGTGCTAACCCTAGCTACCTGGAAGAGCCATCTCAGAGCAGGGCTGGCAAAACAGCTCAGCAGGTGAAGGTGCCTGGGCCAAGCCTGACAACGGACATTCCATTCGAGGAACCTGAATGATGGGGGACACTGAGTTGTCCTCTGACTTCCATGTGTGTGTCATGACACACGTGCCCACACATATACAAAATAAATATAAATTCTTAAAGCAATACTCAGCCACCATGTACCTCCCACATATCCCAGGGCAGCTGCCTGCTTCTGCTCAAAGTCTGTTTGTTCCTTTCACTTTCCACGAACCTGGGAACCAGAGCTTAGCTCTTCGTCTCCTATCTGAACGACCAAGTAAGACTTATAACAAAACAAGCCTCTCAACTCCAATCTCTTCTCTCCTCTCCACTCCCACTTCCTTGAGACAAGGTCGTCTTACACCTATAGCCCAGGCTGGCCTCAAACTCTTGACTCTCCCACCTCAAACTGTCTCCCTTTCATGCTTCACAATTCAAGAGCTACCTGCTCAATATAAACGCAAGATAAAAATGGGATGCATCACTATGTCAACTAAACATAGTACTCAAAAACTACTTACAAATGTAAAGTTGACATTTCACACAAACAGTGCAAGAGATTCCACAATCTGGCCTCAATCTGTTAAAACCTGATTGCAACAATTTTTTTTTTTTTTTTTTACATTTTCTTATCTAAACACATTATTCCACAAAAATGCCTTATAATTTATTTTCTTTGTTCTCTCTCAACTGAAATGATCTCTACCTTTTTTTACTCAAATCTAAACCAGCCTTGAAATCTGTTTAAATGCCTATTCCTGTCTGGTGTTCCTTTAGCAAAATGAGTAACTTTTGTCCTCTATATATCACTAACATTTTAGAGCTCTATTATTAAAATAAAGTAAGAAAGAAAGATGGGGACAATGTAGGTTTGAGACTCTGACAGACCTGTGTTCAAATCTTATCACTGCACTTATTTACTTTGTGTGTGTGCACAATGGGCGCCATGACACAGAAGTGGAGGAGATCAGAGGACAAACTGAGAGTCTGTCATCTCCCTCCATCATGCGGGTCCTGGAAACAGCTCAGGCTGTCAGCCTGGCACCAGACGTCTTTATGGACTGAACCATCTAGCTGTCTCCTGGGTTCAATTCTTAATCTTGCCATTTACTTATTAGCTCTATGGACTAGTAATGGGAAAATTTCTTAACCTATTTGAATTTCACCTTCACCTGTAAGATGAAAATAATACATATATCACGGGGTAATTATGAATATCAAAGTATAGTAGATACATAGGAATCCTTAGTAACTTAATTTTCTTTCCAAATTTCAGTCTGCTCTAGTGTTTACATGTGTCACCATCACTAAACTCTAAACTGGCTGAAAGCAACACTATGCAGATGAGCCTTCCATTTACTACAAGGTTAAATCCTGAAAAGCTTAGGTATCCTAAGTAAAAAACACATTTCATATTGCTGGACATTGTAATACGTGCCTTTAATTCCAGCACTCAGGAAGCAGAGGCAGAGGCCGAGATAGGTAGAGCTTTGTGAGTCCAAAGCCAGCATGGTCTACACATTAAGTTCCAGGCCAGCCAGGCTATATAGTGAGACCCTATCTCAAAACAAAAACAAAGCACCACCACCATCTTAGCCTCCCAACATAACAGCTTAGCAATGTATTATATTGTAGATGGGTTATTCACCCTCGTGATCCCATGGCTGTTATCTTTAGTCTACTAACTACCCAGTGTGCAGGAGAGTACTGTTTGGCTAGTTCAGGAAGACCAAAATTCCAAGTTGCTTTTACTGACTGTGTGCTGCTTTTCCATTATCATAATGTAAAACTCATAAGCTGAATCAATGTAAGTTAGTGAGCATCTAATTATAACATCCAATTGTTATAAAGTTACCACTGGCTACAGCTTAGAACTAATCAACTCTTGACACAGGCATGGCAGCACATGCCTGACTCCTAGGACTTAGAAGGAGGTCAGGGCAAGAGGATGGAGAGTTTTCCGTCAGTCTGGGTGGACTACAGACTGAGTTCCAGGCCAGCCTCTGTTACATATGGAACTCTTGCTTCAAATCAAACACACAAAACAAACTGTGCTAATAAAATCTGCAAGTTTTATGTGTAAATTTAACCTTAATCTTTAAAAACCAAATACAATCAAATTTTTTCAAAAAACAACAAAGAATACAAACTACCTGTGCTAATATATAATTAGAAAAATCTGAAAGAGAAGCTATTTTTCTGCCAAAGCAAGAGAGGTGACAGATTAATCTGATCCAAGAGTCTTGAAGAAACATATACAACTTTAATGTTAAGATAAGCACACACCTGGGGGTTGTTTCTGGAAAAAGAAAAAAGAAAAAAAAAAAAAAAACTAGGTTTCAGAGGAAACCACTACTTTGGCTGCTAAAATAGAAAATGTTCATATTAGATACTACAGTTTTATCAAAACTAACTATTCAATAGCTCAATTATAACAAAGCAATTGCATTTAACAGACATTGAAGGAATAACTACAAAAAACATTTCCGCACAAAGAAATTGAAGAAATAACTATAAAAACCGTGTCATAAAGAAATTATCATCCTAGATCAGTTAACACATTAGAAACTAAGAAAAACTTTTAGGAAGCTGGTAGGTATCCTAGCTCATTCCTAGAAACATGGCAACAAATTTGTAGCCTCGCTATTAGTGTCTGGAAAGAGTTTACAAAACTATGCAAAAGTAACTCGGTTCATGGGTGGGGGTGGGGCAGGGCATCCTAAGTCATACAGAAAACAGCAGCACTCTCTTTAGACAGTCCCTTTTTTTTTTTTTTTTTTTTGATTTTTCGAGACAGGGTTTCTCTGTGTAGCTTTGCGCCTTTCCTGGAACTCACTTGGTAGCCCAGGCTGGCCTCAAGCTCTCAGAGATCTGCCTGGCTCTGCCTCCCGAGTGCTGGGATTAAAGGCGTGAGCCACCACCACCACCACCAGGCTTAGACAGTCCTTTTAAAGGGTCTATAACTAATACTCCAAAACCACTCTACTAACAAATAACACGGGTGAAGACACAGATCCACAAGCAGTTTAAACAATGTTCTACTAATGCAGGAGTTAACACATAGGTTTCCTTACCTCTTCATCATCATCAGAATCATTCCCAAATACTGACGGTTTTTGCAAAACTCGGTGCAACGGCTGTGTTTTCTTTGGCAAAAGAAGCCCATACCTGCATGGGTTTTTTTGGAATAGAAATCATGCCATTATCTTTACATGTTAAAACATAACGCATCCACTACTTTTTCCAGATGAATTTCCCAAATCAAAACATATCATACAACCTATGACCACATAACGCACTTGCTGCTTTGCAATGATATCAAAATTCTAATGTGTCATGATTTTATAATTATTGTTTGTCTACCTGGGCCAATCTCAACATTATTTTTACTAAGAGAAATAAATGAAGAATACAGGAATGCAATCTTCATGTAATACAGTTATCTTCCACAGGCACACGTGTCATGCTCTTTTCAAATTTGCTACAAGTCAGAAATGTTCTAAACTGTCCTCTGATTTTTCCCACGACTGTGTACTTACACAGTTCATAAGCTCTTGATAATGAAAGCCACTTCAACTTTTTAAAGAATTGACTGTGAAACCCAAGCGGACATCCGGGCAAATTCCCATTCGCTTATCGGGCTCAACCGCTTTTGTCTGCGCGCACGTCACCTCGGGGCAAGTTCCCATCTCCGTCAATGGAGCTCACTTGCTTTGTCTTAGCCCCTCTGAGAATCATCGTCAGATTCAACTCAGATCGTTTCCCGAGGTTTTTGGCTTTTAAAATGCAGAGGCCACAGGACGTAGCATCGAAAGGTTTACACACCCAAGGTAAAAAAGCTCCAGGCACAGGTACAGTATCTGTGTCTTTCCCGGCAGCGTACACCCCAGTTTGCTATATGCCTACCCTTTTCTGTGGCTTCTCAGCACCACACTCCTAACACCAGAAGGGAGGGCGGGAAGCAGGCCTTGAGCTTCTGCCAAGGAGACCCGGGCCCTCTAAGGAACCCAGGAGTTTCTCTTCTCAGTGCCCCTGAGCGCATCCAACCGGGAGAAACTCAAGCGCGGGGTAGGAAGCAAGACTGAGGGGCCTCAGACCGAGCTTTTGGAAAATAGAAAAGTCTCGCTCTCTGCCCCTCAGCCTAACTTCCTTTATTTCCTCACAAGTTTCTCAAACTTCGGGCTTGCATCCTGGAAAAATGTACGGGGCGGGGGTGGGGAACCTATGTTGCCCGGGACTCCTCGCCTTCTCCCGCCTCTAGCCCTGGCGGCGGCGGCCCTGCACTTCCGGCGACCTCTGACGCCTCAGCCTAAATAAAGCCTCGGCCTCCCTGGCTTCTCACTCCCCAGCCTGACCCTAACTCCCCCATCACTCACTGCCTGCCCGGGACCGCCATCTTGTTCCCGTCTCCGCTGGACGTGGCCAACGCGGATGTGACGTTGACGCTGACGCGGGCACGCACACTTCCGGTGGCCGGGACTCGCCCCGCGGTGGGATCTGGTCCTGGAGTTGTTTGCACCAGGTGGGTGGCCGTGTCCTACCGCCGTGTTTTGTTTCGCCTGGGACTAGTGGTCTTGAAGTCGACGCTAGGAGGGGACGACAGAATTGGCCCGCGGAGGGCGATCCTGGGAAGAGCCGCCTCACCGGAAATAGATTAGAATCACAAATCCAACCGCGCGCACCTGCTGAATCCGGAGCGGGCGGGGGCGGGGCCGGCAATCTGAATTTTAATGAGTTTCCAAAAGGCTAATCACAGACCGGGGGATTTGTTTTCCTTCTGACCTGTTCACTGTAGCTAGTTCTGGGTAATTAGAGAACGAAAAGCAGTAGTGCACCAATGAGAGCTGATTATTTTCTTCGAACAGGGTCTTGCTGTATGACCCCCACTTCCTAGAACTCAAGATCCTCCTGCCTGGAGTTGCTGGCCCTAGCCGAGAACTGAAATTATTTTAACATTATTGTTGGTGGTGCCACTAGGCATAGGGAACAGTGTCATATCTGATACGTTTTTGCATCTTTGAGACCGTCATGGTGTGTAGTCCAGAATAGCCTCTTGCCTCAGCCTCCTGAGGGATGGTAATCCGTCTCAGGTTTGCCACCTCATTAAAAACAGCCGGACGGTGGTGGCACACGCCTTTAATCCCAGCACTCGGGAGGCAGAGGCAGGCAGATCTCTGTGAGTTCGAGGCCAGCCTGGTCTACAAAGCGAGATCCAGGAAAGGCGCAAAGCTACACAGAGAAACCCTGTCTCGGAAAAACAAACAGACAAACAAACAAACAAAAACCCTGGCCACATTTCATCTGTGCATACACCATTCTAAACTAGTTGTAGAACAGTTTAAGAGACCAATTACAAAAAGGCTGTTACGTCTGTACAATTGTTTCTCCCTTTTTTTTTTTTCTCTCTCTCTCATGTACTTGGAAGTTTTATGAACATGTGAAATGGTAGCATTAGGAAGTGACCCTGACGTCTAGGTTTATGTTTCAAAGGGAGGACACTTACCAAGCATACTAAAAGCCCTGGGTTTGAACTCCCAACACTGCAAAAGAGAAGAAAATGACCCTCTAGTCATTCCTGTTTTGGTATAACTGGCTTTGTTTTGAAAGGCATAATATGCCTTTTATAAAATCTTTTTACTTTTAACCTATTTGTGATATGTTTATGTTGGATTTCTTGCTGATAACATATAGGCAAGTCTTCCTTTTTATGCGTACTGTCTGATAACCTCATTTTAATTAGAATGTTTAAACTATTTTCATTAAGGTGATTATAAACACACCTAATACTTGTTTCCCATTTTTCTCACATGTTCTTTGTTCACCACCCGCTCCCAAGCACTATTTTGCCTTGTTGTGGGTTATTAGAGAAGATCTTGTAATTGAATTTATGGCCCAACCTTCATTTGTATTAGCCATACTACTGTAGACCAGGCTAGCTCTGCTTCCCAAGTGCTGGGATTAAAGGCTTGCATCATAACCACCTGGCAAAGTATACATATTTTAAGAAGATCAGATATTCTTAGTTAGTAGACCCCATTTTCGTTATGAAATAACCTCATTTCTCCTAACAGTCCTTGCTCTGAAATCTTTGTATGATCTAGCTAGTCTAGTTTTCTTTTTACATTAACTAGAAAAATTGAAAAGATGTACAAGAATGAAAAATAATTGCATATTCTATATGACAGATGTAATCATGGTAATGTATATGAATATCCATCTAGTCTAACTTAAATGATGACATCATATTGATGGAAGAATGGGAGGTATTTATGTACAAATGTACACACACACTTGAAGCCTTGGGAAGAAGCTATGTTTTTTGTATGACATATTGGGAGGTTAATGGATATTGCCTAAATTGGAAGTATAAAGAATGTATCCACACACCCATGTTATGTGGCAATATAGAGGTAAATATCAAAATTATAGCTGACATGCAGATTGACAAACTGCCCTGCAGTCAGAGAGTAAACCTGTTAAGGACTTGCTGCATGTGGCCTCTGGAAGACGCTCAGCTGTTGTTTTTAATCTAAGTTGTTCTATTACCAATAAGGACTCGGGAGTCAGAGATTGTGGTGAAAGAGATCAAAGAAGTGGTGGAGGAGTGACCAGCTGACCTCCCCCCACTTTTTTCTTTTCTTTTTTTTTTCTTTTTTAACCAGAGGCCCAACAAGCATGTCTCATGTCTCTCCACACATCCCAGACCAAAACAGACCTCAAATCTCTAAGTCCCTCTTTCTTCCTTCCTGTGTCAATCTTTCTCCCTGCATCCTCTGCACTCTCTATGGCTAATTCTTGTCAACTAGTCTCTGGCTCCGCCTCCTGATCCAAGGTTAATTTTACTAACAGTCTTGGAGTTTCACAGTGCAATCAAATATCCTGAAACATTCAGCTCTGCCCTCATGATGTGAAGGTAGCCATAGACAACAGGGCTGAAGTTCCAACTAGACCTCTTAGAGAAACAGAGTCTCTTCTGCGTAGTCAGGGTTGGCCTAGAATGTACAGTTTTCCTGCCTGAGCCTCCTAATTTTGGGATTATACTGTGTGCTACCATGCTGGGCTTCCAAAGTGTAGTTTGCCATAGTGGACACTGGCCTAGGCTTTGCTGCTGTGCTGTTTGCCAACTCCCAAGGCTAAAAGAATGGGAAGCTCACTCTGAAATAAAGAAAATAGGGGTGAGGTGGGGCTGAGAACTTTCTGATCTTGGCGGGCCTTGTATAACAGGATGAGTCAACAGTCTGTGTTACTTTGCTTAAAACAAAAAAGTCAAGAGCAAAAAACTAAAGCACTCTGTCAAGGCTACATATCTCTTGCTGAAAAGATTGAATAGGGAGTTGGTTACGGAAGATTGCTCAGTGGGGAGCCTAGGATCCCAGATGATAAGAGCTTCTAAACTGGTGTCTTCTTTAATGTGCCATTGCCTTTGGAGCACTGTAATGTAAAGTCCTTGGTTTTCATGAACTAGTTTTGGCTTCTCAGGCACAATGGTGGAGAGGGTTCTTTGCTCATTTGGCACTCTGCTGTAACAGTGGTAATTGCTACAGGGACTCAAGAACACAGAGAAGCCACAGAGATGTTAGAACCCAAATCTGTGATCTTTAACTGGAAAAGCAACAGAGGCAGAAGTGAACTAATCCAGGAAAAGATAGCTTATCACCACCATACTCCTGAATGTATAACGATCTCCACTCTCTTGGTCTTCCTGGAGTAAGACTTGAGAAAATAGTCACGTGGAATTGAGAATAAGACAGCTGTGGGAACAGTAGCACCCAAACTGGAGGATTATCTGTGTCATCTTTTGACGTGGATGTTACTAATGGCACTGTCACTACTTGGGGCCCCAGCTTCTCAGGCTTACCTTCCTCCTCTGTACATACAACTTTTGCTGACTTGTGTAGGGGACTCTTCTGTTCCACCGGCCAGCTCCCAAATAACCACACAGAGACTTATTGTTAATTATAAATGCTCGGCTGATAGCTTAGGTGCTATAGAATATTATATTAAGATGTGTTGCATTTGTTTATGCTGTGGAACATTTGTTTTAATGATGCAAAGATGTGTTGCATTATTTTATGTTGCACTTGTTTAACTCTGTGAAGCTGTGTTACTTTGCCTGTCTAAAACACCTGATTGGTCTAATAAAGAGCTGAATGGCCAGTAGCAAGGCAGGAGAAAGGATGGTGAGGCTGGTAGGCCGGGAGAATAAATAGAAGGAAAAGTCTGGGAATAGGAGATCTATGAGTGAGATAAGGAGGAAGACTCAAGGGGCCAGCCATCTAGCTACACAGCAAGCCACAGAGTAAGAAGTAAAGAAAAGTATATAGGATAAAGATAAAGGCCCAGAGGCAAAAGATAGATGGGATAATTTAAGAAAAGCTGTCAAGAAACAAGTCAAGTTAAGGCCAGGCATTCATAAGAAAGAATAATACTTCATGTGTGTATTTATTTGGGAGCTGGGTAGCGGGCCCCCAAAGAGCAAGGATTAAAATTCAACCAACACTCAGGCTTGTTTCTAACTAGCTCTTAGAACTTAAATTAACCCATTTTTATTAATTTACTTGCTGCCCTGTGGCTCATGGCTTGTTACTTCACCTTGTGCACGTCCTGCTTCTTCTGCGTCTGGCTGGTGACTGCCATTCTTCATCTCAGAGAGCTCTCTCCCTGTCTGCAAGTCCTGCCTAACCTCTTCCTGCCTAGCTACTGACCATTTAGCTCTTTATTAAACCAATGAGAGCAACATATCTTCACACTGTACAAAAAGATGGTTCCACAGTATTGTAGTTTCTCAAAAGCAGTACACATCAGATCTTTTAATGCTCACCATCACTTTTTTTGCCTTTCTAAATACTTTTAAAGAAATGTCCCAGTTGCTATGTCTCAATTTTATTTATGTATGATTTAGGTACCTTTGGGAAGGGGAATGGAGGAAAGGGGAGTCATCTCTTTATATAGCCCAGGCTGGTCTAGAACTCAAGTCCTCCTGATTTAGGCTCCTTGGTGCTAGGATGACAGGGCTGCAGCCCCACCCCCAGCTACGTACATTTTATGTAAGTCTGCTTCACAGGTTGGCTTCATTTTAGTGGGTGGTGACCCCTAATTCAAACGGCAGTGGCTAGAGAGTCAGAATCACATGAAACAAAATTCCATCACCCAAAGAGGCCTCCTCAGTGAGGTCTGTGTGGCAAAGATAGGGGGTAAAATAGTAATTAATATTAACTTGAGTATGAGATAGTTTCTGAACTGCTTCAGGCAAAAGAAAACTGATCTTACTATATTCAATGAATTGACCTTGTCAGTTGAAAGTTTTATTTATTCAGGGCCTCACATATCCCAATGTTGCTAAAATTCCTTCCCTGGGAGAGATGTAAACACCTACCCCTTTCTCCTAAGGTTCCAATGACAAACAGGTACCATTCCACCAAAGGTCACCCTCGGAAACCAGTGAGTTTATTTGGCTTCCTTACATAGCATTGGTGTGAAGGTATGCTCATACCCATAGGCAGGAGCGTAGATGACCTTAAAGCAGCCACACTGGAAGTCTGCACCCAGCACAAGATGGTGATGCTCCCATGGCTGCACAGTTGAAGTCTCCTCCCCTAGACCTTTCCTGTCTACATGATATACTCCAGCTCCTACTGAAAGCCAGAATTAGGGCAGAATTACCAACAACTGATTGGTAGGGGTGGCTAGATACTCAGGTGGGAGTCACATCCCTCCCTGTGGCTACTTTGAGGGAATGTCAACAGGCTCAGCTGTGATGACCTTTGACAAGCAAACATGGCTGATCTGATAAAGACGGAGGCCCCAAGGATAGTCCTGTACAACACCTACGTTGGCTTCAAAGTTGCTATAGAGCCAAGGATAGGTTAGGGGTGTTTATAGAAATTGAGGAAAACTGTTGCTTTATTATATTTAGACAACGTAGGGAATAAGAGGCCAGTCACAAAAGATCATAATTTTGTATGATTCTTCTTATATTTGCCAGACAAGCAAATTCATAAAGAAAGTAGATTGGGGGCTATATGTGGTGGCATATGCCTTTAATCCCAGCACTCAGGAGATAGAGGATGGCAGATCTTTGTGAGTTCAAGGCTAACCTGGTCTAAATAGTGAGTTCCAGGCCATCCAGGGCCACATAGTAAGATCATACCTAGAAAAAAGAAAAAAAGTTAAAAAATAATAAAGAAAGTAGACTGGTGGCTACCTAAGGCAAGAATTGGAGGAAATGCTGGGTGTGGTGACGCACACCTTTCATCCCAGCATGTGGGAGGCAGAGGCAGGCAGATCAATGTGAGTTCGAGGCCAGCCTGGGCTACATGGTGGGTTCCAGGACAACCAGAGCTACTTAGTGAGACCCTGGCTCAAGAAAACAAAAATAAAAACAAAACAAATAATAAAAAGAGAGTGTGTGTGGAAAGTGAGGCGGAACTGATGGTGGGTATGGGGATTCTTATTGGGGTGGCAAAAATGTCCTAAAATTGCTACAGTGGCAGCACATTTCTGTGAACCTGCTAAAAGCTGCTGAACTGGATGCTTTAGATGAAGTAGACACCGTCGGAGGTAGAGTTCAATGAAGTTGTTGAAAAGCCAATAGGTGCTTTTGAACTTATGTATCAGAGTCTTACACTTGCTAAGCAAGCACACTACCTCTGAGCTACATCCCCAGCCCCTGGAGCCTTTTCAGGGTCCCTTATCAGTATCTTGACACTTTACACTGTTTCTGGACATGCTATTATTAGAAAATCAAAAAAGTAGTCTGGATCATCTACTATACCATGTTGTTTTGCTGTGTGCTATGAAGAGCCAACTAGGAAACCCAATTAAGATGGGGCTGGAGAGATGTCTCAGTGATTAAGAGCACTGGCTGCTCTTCCAGAGAACCTGGGTTTGGTCCCCAGAACCCATGTCAGATGGCTGACAACCACTGGTAACTCCAGGTAAAGGAGAAGCCAACACCTCCAATCTCTGCAGGCATTAGCATTCACATGCCCATACCCATACACAGATACACATATACACAAAATTAAAAATAAATAAATAATTTAAAAAATCCATTTAAGCACCAGTAGCTCAGGACACTTGCTGCCAGCTGACCCAGCAAGTTGTCCTCTGATTTCCCTGTGTGTACCGTGACACACCCACAAAAGAAACAACTAAATAAATATAATAATATTTTAATTTATAATAATTTAAAACTAAAACCCAAAATCCAATTGTTTCCATAGGAAATGAAAGACTGTGGATTCCTTCAAGGTTACTAGAGATCAGGTTTGATCAGGGGAGACCCCCTGAAAATCCTGGCTACAACATAAAGAAATAAACCAAGTGGCATATATTTTACCTGCTCAAACATAAAACAAAAAATCATCTTTGGCTGGCTTGTGTAAAACATATAGTCCATGCTGGTGTTAATGCAGATGTGTATGTTATCTTTGAAGGTTTGTGTGTTTTCAGAGCAATGGGACCAGACATTGGTCTAAGTCTGGTAAGTCTTTGTAAAACTATACACAGTAAGAACACTTATCAAGCAAGAATTACATTCACAATATCCAGTCCATCAGCACTTGGCACATTCAAAGAAAATACTTCATTATTAATCCATTTTGGTTAGTCCAAAGTTTTATACCTCATTAACCTTCTATCATAACTCAAGAAGTGTAACTATCTAGTCTTCAACTCCATCAACAACCCCAGAAGGATATAATATTACCTGAGTAAACAGAAAGTGCAGTGTAAGTTTTAGCATGAATCCTAAATGGTTTTATTAATAAGAACAAACCTGGAGCCAGGTATTGGGGTGTATTCTGGAAGATCAGAGAAACAGAACCAGCCACAGCTTTCTCACCTCGCCAATTCCTCAGCTGATGCTGTTTCCTCAGACTGGAAGTCTCTGAGTCCTCATCCAGAATGAATCTCAGCTGAACTGCTGCTCAAAAGCCTAAAAGCTTGATCAGGCTCTAGTTCCTGGTCCTCACCCTTATATACCTTTCTGCTTCCTGCCATCACTTCCTGGGATTCAAGGCATGAGTCACCATGCCTGGCTGTTTCCAGTGTGGCTTTGAATTTACAGAGATCCAGGTGGATCTCTGCCTCTGGAATGCTAGGATTAAAGGCATGTGCTACCACTTTTTTCTGGTCTCTATATCTAGTGGCTGTTCTGTTCTCTGACCCCAGATAAGTTTATTAGGGTGCACAATATTTTGGGGAACACAATATCACCACAATAAGTCACTTCCAAAACAACAGAATCATCTGGCTGCCTGGACCATCACTCAAGGTTCCTCTGCAACATTGGGACATTCAGTCTTCAGCCTATGGGCCAAGAATGTCTGGCAAACTTTTCCATGAAGCAGGAATTTTGAAGGACTGTCCCGCCATGTTTTTGGCAAAGTTTGGCAGTCTTTTTCCTTTGTGTCCTGCTTGTCCAGTTTGTACAGCATAAAGAAAGAGCAGTTTCTTTACCCAGTAGCTAACTTTGCCACAATGAAAGCAAATTCTATATGGAGTTTCTTCGATGTTCATCATCTTCTCTGAGGTAATTGGTGCTGCCAGGAGCAGACGTGTCTCATTGTCATGAAAAGCCTCAGGTTATTAAACATATTAAATGCTGTATTCTGTAGGTCTTCGAAGTGTTTGAAGATCACCTATCTATCTAAAATATATCTCTTGAACCTTAAAAACATACCTAATGTGACTACAAGTTTGATTATTATAGATGACTAACTACTAACCTGCATTTCTTAATTATCCTAAATAGTTTATAATAATAGCTTTCAAGAACTAGATCTCTACCTTACACTTTAAAATGAGCTGCATGGGTACAATGCCCTAAGCAAGAGTAGAAACATACATATGGTATAACAAAAATCACCTTAAATTTGTATCAATATACAAAAATCCATACCAATGTAAAATATTTGATGTTAATAGTTGTCTTTGAGCCGGGCGGTGTTGGCGGCGGCTCACGCCTTTAATCCCAGCACTCGGGAGGCAGAGGCAGGCGGATCTCTGTGAGTTCGAGGCCAGCCTGGGCTACCAAGTGAGTTCCAGGAAAGGCGCAAAGCTACACAGAGAAACCCTGTCTCGAAAAAAAAAAAAGTTGTCTTTTTATCCTATATTCCTATATCCTCACTAAACAATGACAAACACCCATAACCCACCAAATGACCAAAAACTACCCACCTCACCTCTTGGGAATGTGGGTGTTGTGTTCTCTAGACTGCTTCCTGTTATCTGTGGGTGAAGGTATCTTTAGGGAACCTGAAAAAATTGAGATAATGGTCAAGTCCTAAGAAAACTAGCTGTAACATTTGTGTCTAGTCTTGGCACAATAGGAAAGTGCAAGGATTATCTGTAGTCCTGGTTAGAATAGTCTGTGAGGCTGGACCATCTCAGCCAGCAGCCTGCAAGCTGTTTTGGATTCAGAACTCACAGAAATTGCAACAGAGGCACTTTGAGAAGCTGGATCACCTGGGTCACTCATTTTCATTGGTGTCTGGTCCCATTGCTCTGAAAACACACAAACTTTCAAAGATAACATACATATCTGCATTAACACCAGCATGGTCTATATGTTTTACACAAGCCAGCCAAAGATGATTTTTTGTTTTATGTTTGAGCAGGTAAAATATATGTCACTTGGTTTATTTCTTTATGTTGTAGCCAGGATTTTCAGGGAGTCTCCCCTGATCAATCCTGATCTCTAGTAACCTTGAAGGAATCCACAGTCTTTTATTTCCTGTGGCTCATGATGGCCTTTAACTCCAGCTCCAGAGATTTGATGTCTTCTTCTGGTCTCCACTGGCAGCCACCCCGATCCTCTCACAGTAAGCTTGTACACACAGAGACACACAAGCATACCAATTAAAGTGTCTTTTCCCCCATGAAGAGATAAATCTGTTGTTTTTATACTTTTAGCAAACCCAACTGAGATGCTTCCTTTCCAGGGTTTCATTAGTGAACTGCCCACCTTGCAAATGGACAGCTCACTCATTCCTTAAGCCTGTTTCCTCACTTATAAAGTGGTGATGGTATAAGAATCACCAACTTTATTGGGAGAATCTTAAGTGAGTTGGTATGCAATCATGCTCCGAACATACTAAGTGTCATGGAAAGGGTTGGGAATGTAGCCCAGTTGGTAGAGTGCTCACCTAGCATGCACAAAACACTGGGTTCAATCCCCAGCACCCCAAAAACCAGGCAGGGTGATAAATGTGTGCCTGTAACCTCAGCATTTAGAAAGTTGAGGCAGAAGATTCAGGAGTTCAAGGTCATCTTCAGCTACCTTACGAGTTCTAGGCCAGCCTATACTACATGTGACCCTATCTCAAAATTAATGAAGCTGGGGATGGTGGCCAAGTCTTTAATCCCAGCCCTCTAGAGGCAGAGGCAGGCCTGTCTCTATGAATTTGAGGCCATCCTGTTCTACAAAGCAAGTTCTAGGTCAGTCATGCTTACATAGAGAGACACTGTCTCAATTTTTTTTTTAATGATAAAATAAAATGTGGGAGTTGGAAAGAGATCTGAGCAGTTGAGAACACTGGCTGCTCATCCAGGGGAAGAGTTCAACTCTTAGCACCCTCATGGCCCCTCATGTGTGGCTGTGATTCCAGTCCCAGAAAGATATGACGCCCTCTTCTGGCTTTCTCCAGCACTACATGCACATGATGTGCAGATATTCATTCATGCAAACACTCATACACGTAAAATAAAACCAAATACAAAGAAGAAAAGTGAAAATATAAGAAATCTATTACACTAAACCATAGTAAATGGGATTCCCACAACCACAATAAAAACAACCTCTCTGACACTCTTCTTTCTGGCTGCCTACACCACCATCTGTATTCACATTTATTCTGAACCACTGGATATACAACTATCAGTTTAATATCTTCAAGAACACTGTTGCTAGAAATGTTGCTGCAAATGCCTGAAAATGCCTCCAATACAAAGTGGCCAAGAGAGGTAACGCTGGTCATGAGCTCATCTGAGACAAGCTAGCTGGTTGTCATCTAATCAACAAAGGGTAAAGGGCTGCCAATCTCCACTTATAAGGCACTCAGGACACATCACAATCTGTCAGCTTAAGAAAGAAAATAAAGTTTAATTTCCCAAATTTTATTAAAAATGGACTTTGTCATCAGATATCTTATTGCAAAGATGAAATCTCACAACATGCCAATAAAGCTTGCTGTAATAACAAGCTTTGAATGGATATAAATTCTTTTGTAGTTATAGGACTTGAGAAGTTTTTGTTATTAAAAACTGATGTTTTCTTTATTCTGTGAGTCATGGACAAACATTTTCTCATAAAATGATTTTCTGTGACCAGGCACATGCTTATCCACACTCAGGAGTTCAAAGCCAGCCTGGGCTACATATCCAGTTCCAGACTAGCCTCAGAAATATATAGAGACTCTTTCTCAAACAAACAAACAGTAATGTAAAATGGCTTTTAGACTGTTAAGAAAAGGAGAAACAAAGAAGGGATGGAGAGGGAGTGTTTAGATAGTTTTTGAAAAATTCTAAAAACAGTTCCACGTCCACTTCTTAAAATCTTTATTATTTGGTACTCTTTTGATGTAAAAGCTGCCATTTCTCCACTCAGGCCCTCCAGTATCCTTTATTTTCCTATTTAAAGGAATGAGAAGTAACTTCTCAAACAGCCACAGTAGTCGAAGGTCCTATAGAAAGCTCAAACTAAAAGGGAGTTTTCAAATATGTTCCATTACATATTCAGGTATGTTTGGTTATGATCACCATAACTGCATACTCTTTAAATTTCTCTTTAGGTAGCACTTTTGGTTTTAGAGAGTGCTGAGGTGAATGTCTGGGAGCAGAACGTGTCAATGGGGCATCCCTTTTCAGTTGGAAATATTTCATTATTAACAGTATAGGACACAATCAACACATCCTAAATATAGTATCAGTCCTTAGCTTTCCTCTGTCAATGATTTCTCCGTGAATGTTGTATGAATAGAGGTATCGCTCTTCTTGGGCAATGGAGGTAAAATAGATCTACTTTGTTTGTTTAGCTCCATAAGAGTCAAATTAATGTGTAACCAGTGGTACAGGATTTCAATAACAAGATTGCCAAATCTCCATACTTCAGTTCGAGAATGATCTGTATCAAGAAAAGGAAAAGTTAGTATGGATAATATTGTACTTTAGTTATTAAGAAATAAATTAAAATATGATTAAAATTCATTAACTATGTTGTAAATCAAAATCATAGCAATATCTTGTTTATATATTTAATTATAAGAGATAGGTAGAAATTGATATTTTCATGTAATGGAATAATACATAGCAGTTAACGCTAAAATAATTATACACACACACGTAACATGTAGAATCTTATACATATTTGTGTATAACTCTTAAAAGTTTAAAAACCGCCGGGCGGTGGTGGCGCACGCCTTTAATCCCAGCACTCGGGAGGCAGAGCCAGGCGGATCTCTGTGAGTTCGAGGCCAGCCTGGGCTACCAAGTGAGTTCCAGGAAAGGCGCAAAGCTACACGGAGAAACCCTGTCTCGAAAAACCAAAAAAAAAAAAAAAAAAAAAGTTTAAAAACCTGTAAGTTTTATGAATTCATAAAGATATAGTAAAAGGAAACCAGGCAGTGGTGGTGCACACCTTTAATCCTGGCACTCAGGAGGCAGAGGCAGGCAAATCTCTGAGTTCAAGGCCAGCTTGATTTACAGAGCAAGTTCCAGAATGGCCAGAGCTACACAGAGAAACCATGTTTTGAAAAACCAAAAGGATAAACAAACAAACAAAAAAAAGATATAGTAAAATAAATGAATAAATGATAAGCACCAAACTCATGATCACATCGTGAGAAAGGAGAACAGGACCAGAAGAGGTAGAGAGTTTTGACTGTTCCTATTACAGTTCGTGTCTTTAGAAACACCAGACTCAGATGGGCATGGTGATATTGGTGACATCCCTGTAATACCAGCCGCCTGGCAGGCCGAAGCAGGAAGATCGCTAGTTTGAGGTTAGTCTAGGCTAGATAATAATTTTGAGCAGGCCTGGGCAACTAGTGAGACCCCATTGTAAACTAAAATTAAAAAGGGTTGAGGATGTAGCTGAGTAAGTAGGAGAGCACCTGCCAAGCACGAAATAAGCCTAGGTCACTCCCCAGCATTGTAAAACGCAGTAAAATGAACCTAATCCAAACACGGCATGTTAAGGTTGGATACTAGATATTATTACATAATGAATACACAGTGCTTATTATTTGTACTATTATATTTGAGACATTTAAGGAATTGCTCAATATCCTTAGACATCAGGGAAATGCAAATCAAAATGACTCTGAAATATTCTTTAATTAAAATTTGTTTCAAGACACGTAGTTACTGCCCACTATTGAAAACTGTTAGCTGCCATTCCTAAAGAGTCCAGGAGGCCAGGCGGTGGTGGCGCACGCCTTTAATCCTAGCACTTGGGAGGCAGAGCCAGGCGGATCTCTGAGAGTTTGAGGCCAGCCTGGGCTACCAAGTGAGTTCTAGGAAAGGAGCAAAGCTACACAGAGAAACCCTGTCTCGAAACACCCCCCCCCCCAAAGTCCCAGGAGCCAATGATTAATATTTAGATAGAATGGTCCAATGGACAGAGTACCTTAGCATTGAACAGGTCTGAGTTCTAATTTTGGCTCTATCCCAACTAATTTTGTGACCTTAAACAGATTTGCTTGCTCTGAGCCTGTCTATCATTTTGTAAAACAGGAACACTTTAGGATTATTATGAGAAAATACACACAAAAATCTGACTTTCCAGTGCCTGTCACCACAGGTTGAGTTTTATTCATCATTGTTGTTCCTAATCTAACTCAGAGCAGACCCGGATAAAGACCTGCTGATTTGAGTTGAACAAACCATTATATACTCACATTAAACTGTGTGAGAGTGTTGAATACCACTACCCAAGAGTATCTTAACCATAATCTCAATTATCTACTAGAATTTTAAAACATTTTTATTAAATTTTGTTTACTGATGTGTGTGTGTGTGTGTGTGTGTGTGTGAGAGAGAGAGAGAGAGAGAGAGAGAGAGAGAGAGAGAGAGAGAGAGAGAGTGTGCATGTGTGTATATGTGCATGCACATGTGTGCCATAGCATCTGTGTGTAGACCAGAACTTGCAGGAGTTCTCTTTCCAACATGTGTGGCCCAGGGATCAAGCTTAGCTTGCCAGGCTTGGTGACAGGAACCTTTACTCACGGAGCCATCTTTCCCACAGACCCCAGAACATAGTTTATTTCCTTGTCTTCTACCGATACAAGGGGCAAGTTTCCCTGAATTGGGCTTGGCTTTATCATGCTTTGAAGGCACCTCTTCAAGCTAAGGTGCAAGTATATGACAGGGAAGGCCCATGCGATGAGGAACCATTCACAAGTTTTCATTTTTATTTGAAGCTGACTTCAAAACATGTGGATGCAATGAATTTCCTAATGTCCTCTTTTCATACACCCCCCCCAAGCACTGCTTTTTCTCATTCAATTGTAAGTGTTCAATAAATGCTGAATTGAAACAACATTAAATTAAGGAATAATTTAATTTCTTTATTTCAAGTCCTAAAAGTTTTTCCAGATTACAGCTCAATAATATTAGTGACAATTATGAATAAAACCAAGAACAGATGCTACTTGTGAGAACACATTAGAAATATCTGATTCATCTCACTTTAGGGTAATTCTAGACCAATAAAAATACCAACTTAAAACACTGAGGGCGAATTTGTTATCATTGATCCTTCTTTGTGCTAATTAGCTTCCTGGAAACTTTACAAAGAGATATTACAGATTTCCAAAGATTACTCTGATTATCTTAATGTCCCAGTGTTATGAATCTAAATTAAATAAAAGCAAAGTTCATCTCGGGACACTCCTAAGTACCCATCTCAACTAATTTTCTGAGATAAAACAGCTTCCACAGCTTGGTTCCCAAATCCTCCACGAGTGCTCAGCTCCATCAGTGGCTGTTGGTGATCTTGGCTGAACACCGAAGTGTGCACACCCCCCTGTCTGTAACACCATTAAACCAGTCACCATCTCCATGGTGATTCAAGGGTAGGAGGGTGGAGAGAGAACGCTCCCTTTCACAAGCCCCTGTCGCTAACTTCCTGTTTTATTGTTACCAGGGACAAAAGCTTGGAACCTGTCGGGGAGGTAGTTCCTGTCCCCTGTCATTTCCAGAGATGGATGGGTTTACAGGGGCCCCTAATGAGTCCTCTAAGGGAGCCTTCTGCAGCTACTGGGAACATTACCACTGGCTGCCACTGCCCTCTTGTGGCAGACAGGTGCCTGATCGTCACAGGTTGGCAGACACCCCACATCTACCATCAAGGCAATTTTCAAGGAGTCTACTTTTATTTCTTCTATGAATCTATGAAACTATGAACATTTTGATTTGCCTTAGCAATGCCTACAGCATTTTTTAAAAATTACATTTAAGCTATAGGGATTTCAGAGTAAGCCTTTGACTATGTACAGGGATGTATTGAGAAAGCTTTTATTATGGTATTTTTAGGTCCCACTTTAATCAAACTTTTAATTACACAAGGAATTCATTATGCTGGAAACATTAGACTATAAAAAGCATGTTTTAAAATTAAACCTCAATTTGTGGATCTCTGCTTTACCACTGGATTAATTAAGCCAAATCCTCCGGGAAGCATAGACAATTAGTAAAAACAGGCAAAGCCAAGAGAATGAAGTACCAACTTCAAGCTCAAAAGCTGAACGGCTTCCTCCAGCTCCCGACCAGGCCAGGGCCAGAGGTAGTTCTCGAATGTTCTCCTTCTCCATCAGCTCCTTCAGTGCGGTTTCTCTGTTTCTGTTGCTTCACACTCCCTGAGTCATTTTAAAATTTACTCATTTAGAATTACTGCTGGACACAGTAAGCTAAAGGTCTGTCCAGGAACGTACACCGGAAGGAGATGTGCGTGCAGATTTCAGCTCTATTTTCACATGGGCAGGGGAACTTGGTGATGACAGCTGGGCGCTGTGGATTGACTGTCGTCCCAAAGGCAGACACCTCCCGGGCCTAACAGGAACGGATCGGTGTTGAACAGGGAGGAAATCTTGTTTTTTGACTTATAGCTGAGGTGGAAGTTTGTTCCAGGACAGATAACGAGTTCTGAAAGCGCAGAGTTCCACTCCCACTGCGAGCACGATTGCTGTACAACAGCACCCACTCTGCACTTTTTTTTTTAAACAACGTAGCCATAAACCAAATGTGTCAATATCGGTCAGTGTAATTTTTTAAATAATATTTTTACTGATTATTTGGGAATTTCACATCCTGAGCCCCCAGCACACGCACTTCCCAGGCCTCTCAGGTCTGCCCACCCCTGCCCTTTTGATCCTCCACCCTCCCCGAAAAAAGAAGAAAAAGAAAAAAGAAGCAAGCAAGCGAACAAACGAACAAACAAAAGAACAAGTCCAATTTGTGTTGTCCATACATTCACTGGAGTGCAGTTAAACTCCCGGTGGTCAGCCCCTTAAAGAGAACTGAGTCCTCCCCGCCCAGCCCCAGCCCCCAAGCCATCAGTTGTGGAGAGCTACACTTCAGCATCCTTATTACAATTTTCTAAAAAAGATTATTTATTTATTTATTTATTTATTTATTTATTTATTTATTTATTTATTTATTTATTATGTATACAGTGTTCTGCCCTTATGTCTAACTGCAGGCCAGAAGAGGGCACAATATCTCATTACAGATTGTTGTGAGACACCATGTGGTTGCTGAGAATTGAACTCAGGACCTCTGGAAGAGCAGCCAGTGCTCTTAACCTCTGAGCCACCTCTCCAGCCCCCTTTATTACAATTTTTAAGAGTTCTCTTCTATGGCTTTCTGCTTAGGTTGTTACTTTTTTGGGGGTTGTTACAGAAGCCTTTTAAGTTCCTCTTTCTCAATTTTGAGTCTGCTGTCATCAATACCATGGCAAAAATAGCTCCCTTGCCCTGTCCAATCAGTGGGAGCATGGATCATGGGCTTACACATGGTTTCTGGCCACAGCACAGACCACGGACATCCACATGGTCTCCAGCATCAGTATGTGCCATGGACCCCAGCATGGTCTCCAGTGGCCGTACAGACCATGGATATCAACAC